ATTCAACTAAAGAACCCCAGGCCTCCCCAAGTCAGCTGCTGTCCTCCTGGTCTGCAGACCAGGGGATGGGGGGGGGGCAAAGCAGAGCCAAGCAGAGCCAAGCCGCGGAGCGCGCGGTCAGCTGACAGCCCAGACGCGTCTTGGCTGTCCGCTGCCCGCGTGTTCCGCCGCTTTGCTTCCTCTCCCTGGTCTGCTGGAAACCAGGGAGAGGAAGGGCCCCGTTCGTAACTGCGGATCCGACATAAGTCGGATCCGCGTAACTCGGGGACTGCCTGTATTTAGTTTACATAAAACAAAAAGATTATAAAATACCAGAGTATAAAATGAGTACATAATTTTTGCCACTAATTTTGGGATTTTTTTTTTTAAATGAGAGAAAAGTGTCAGAGAGGCCAGAGAAAAGTTACATCTAGTTTTTCTAACCAGTTCACATTGTAACAAGTTTTCCATCAAAAAAAGAAATTCAACTGAAATCTAAAAAAATTTGCCAAATTTTTGTGAACTTTTTTTTGGGGGGTGAGGGTGGCACAAGTAGAAAAGTTATGAGACTGTTGAAAGATCACTTATGATATTTAGGGAGCAAAAAACTACAGTATTTCTTAGTAAATCTAAACGAAAAGATTTTGATCTTTATTAAAATGCTCAATTCCAGAAAATGTGATGGGCTCGATTAACTATCTATTCGATATTACTAGTCAATATAGTTATGCTTATTTTGGGAAAGAGAAAAAGACGCAAAAAAGTAATTATTACAGTCAAATTTAAGTAACAACAATATAACTGAGACAAAGTATTACCAGATCCTGCCTTGAGGGCGGGGGGCTGGACTCGATGACCTCTCGAGGTCCCTTCCAGTCCTATTATTCTATGATTCTATTATTCTAGATCAGATTTAGGATCAAGTGCACAGGAACAGTAAAAATCATAAAGCCTAAGGTATCAGGCAAAATTCTGGCCCCACTTAAGCGAGTTTGATTGCCTAGTTATGCTGTTTATAACATTTTAAAAAGTTAAGAATATACATATTAATCATGAAAATAGCTGATTTCTAAATTTATACTAAAAGAGATTTTGAGAGACCCACACAACTTACATTTAGTGGAATGAAACTGGGAAACTTGCTTCCCCCCTTCCTGATTAGTCCAAGGAGAAGGAACGATGAGACTTTTAGTGAAAAACTAGAGAAAAACATAACAATTGGATACTTCAAACATTAAGATTATCTGCTTAATTTTTTATATATGGGGCTCGCCATACTCACAAAGCCGCACTGTCTGGCGATCTGCACATGCGCAGATCGTTCTGCGCATGCACAGATCGTTCTGCGCATGCACAGATCGCCCGAACCCGACTCTTCCGGGTTACAATCTGTATTTTTTTGTGTGTGTGTGTGTGTGTGTGTGTGTGTGTGTGTGTGTGTGTGTGTGTGTGTGTGTGTGTGTGTGTCCGTTGATAGCTTTCTAAATGCAGCCCAAAACACAATTCAAATTTAAAATAGCATAGTGGAAAGATTTTTTGAGAAACCATCAACTAGTACAGAAAGATTATTTTGAAGAGTCCCATCTTCTTCTAATTCCACTAGTGCACAGCCACATACCATGTCAACGTTGACAAAATTTAACCTTTCTTCTCAGAGCTGTATGACACACTCAATGCTGGGGGCTAAAACAGGTCTCATTGCTCCAGCAGAAGTTAAGAGTGACTAGAGTTTAAGAGGTTCCACATACTCTGCAGAAAGCCATAGCCAAGTTCTGAGTAGGATGTAAAATCCCATTGTATTGGTTAAACGCGACGTTTAACTGGTTAACAGATTGAAGGATGAGCACCTCGGGCACGGTGGGGCACTTCAGCACTGCCTGTGATGTCCCCAGGCCTGCTCCAGACAACTGAAACAGCCCCTGTCCACAGTGATTCCCTCCATAAGACTGACCAGTCCCCTATCCACAGCAGGTGGGGAGCTGCTCCAGCCCTACCAGTTAACCAGTTAGCCTTTCACATCCCTAGTTCGGAGGCAATAAAGAGCAACAGAATGAAAACTAGTTTAATTTATGTTAAAATTATGAGTTTTATATTAATAAAATATGAATGGATAATTCAGTAGCGTCATTCGTCTATAACGGAGTTTTAGTCTCTTCACAAATTCAGTAAACCAGAGTTTTGGATCAACAATTCATGTGCTTAATAGAAGCATAAAGACAAAGTTGAAGATGAATAGATGGTGACTATTTTGACTTTTGACACCTTGGAAAACACAAAGGTTCATAGAAATAAGCATATTTATGGTACATTTCTGCTAAAAATGAACAGCACTTGGTCCTCAAATCATCACTGTAAGGTTTAGATTTTGAAAATATTCAAATATAAAAAAGCTGTCATAAAAACTGTCATATCCTGGATAAACAAAGGAGAAATTCCCCACCCCACCCAATCTAAGACAGACACAAAACAAATCCAAAAGAAACACTGAAGTAACTGATCTTCAAGATGTGCTGCCCATATATTCCATTTACAGTGCATATGTACTCAAGATGGGAGTCTCTTGGCCAGCAATATTCACTGTGACATGTACCACAAGTGTCCCCACTGCCCAAGCCAAAGACAAAGAGCAAAACACTACAACAGTGATTTTTTTCCTTTACAACCATGGAACTTGATAGATATAAGATTCCAAAGAAGAAGGCAAGGATGATAGGTTGTGAACCAGGTGGATGACATCTCAAATAATTCCAGATTCAGCACAGATAAGTACCTTTTATTTTCCCTTTGAATAACTGCCCATATACATACACAACTTGAAGATGACACTAAACTGCTCAAGAGATAGTTAGGACCAAAGCAGACTGTGAAGAGCTTCAAAAAAAGATCTCACCAAATTAAGGGACTGGACAACAAAACGACAAATGAATTTTAATTTTGATAAATGTAAAGTAATGCACACTGGAAAAAATACCATGAATTAGCAAATATAATCCGCGGGTTATCCATGTTTTTACCAACCATGCCTTGCCCCCCGCAGTATACATGTCCACATCCTGTGTAAGTTGATTTTTACTCATATTAAAAGACGACAAGACCAACATAAAAATCAGCCTTTTATGAAGGCAACAGAAGTCTCTGCGAGTTACGTACGTCCGCGGGTAATCTAATATATATATATATATATATA